CTCAGGGGCTGCCATAAAGAAGAGGGAATAAGCTATTTTCCAAAGCACCTGAAGGCAGGACAAGAAGCAACGGGTGGAAACTAATCAAGGAGAGAAGCAACCTAGAACTAAGGAGAAACTTCCTGACAGTGAGAACAATTAATCAGTGGGACAGCTTGCCTCCAGAAGCAGTAAATGCTCCAACACTGGAAGTTTTTAAGAAGAGACTGGACAGCCACTTGTCCGAAATGGTGTAGGGTTTCCTTCCCGAGCAGGGGGTTGGACTAGATGACCTCCAAGGTCCCTTCCAACTTTACTACTATTACTATCTTATTTGCCGAAGGACAAGAAAGAATCTAGATTTTTTTTCAAACAGAATAGTTTCAATTGTTTTGTTCCTCTTTATGGTTTTACCAAGCAGAAAATAAGTGTGGTTTATTATATAGCTAAGTCAGCAGCCAAAGTTATATTTCATTGCTCTGTATTGCCATATCTGGCTCTTCTTGACTGGACGGACACTGAAGGTTAAGGCTTAGAAGTGAGAAGCTTCCCTTCAGTGAAGGCAGATTGCTGATAAGACTTACAATACATATAACAATGCTGGAGCAACCATATTTTTTGACGATACCCTCTTGCTACATTTTATGGTCTTATTTATATCTAGACAAAATACTTCCAGTCTTTCAAAATGATAAAAGCATACCATTCCATGACTAGACCTCACCAGATGTTACTATTGCTGTCACACTCAACGCAACCAAAGGTTCAAAGCCTTAAATCAGGATTGCTTGGAACAACCTGTAAACCCAGTAAATAAATGTTCTCAGTGTCATGTTCCGGCTGAGAAACCCAACAAAGCAAAACACCAGAGACATTGTGATCTCTAATGTAAACTTTATTAGGCATTAGCAAACCGGTACGATAGAAGGAAAGCTAGCTCTGAGAATATGGCAGGAAGCAGATAATTAAAAGAGTAAAACTTTCCCTCCCTTCCCTGACAGTTCGGGTCACATTGTCCAATTAATTTTCCAGCAATTGTTATGAGAAGAAACTTTGGTTCGCCAAAACATCTCTTCGGCTCTCACGCTGATAGGGAGCACCTGTGGATCCCAAACTCTCCCATCCGCCCCCCCCCCGTAACTGTAGACAAGCTAGAAGCACTACGGCGGTCCTGAAGACAGTAAATTTTGTAGCTTGAAACTCAGCTGATCACTCACAGGTGACTTCATTGATTTTTTTGATCTACTGTGGTGGTCTTAGGAATAGAAGGAATTTTGCAAGAACCAGGACATGTGAGGGTGATAACTATGAAGCAATTCTGCAAGCTTAGAAGATTCAAAAAAGGCACAGATAGAACTGATGGAGATGAATCCACAGATGGCCACGCAAACAACTACAATTCATGATGAATAAGAATTTCTTTCTAAAACACATAAATTAATAGTTGCACTTTATTCTGCATTAATCAAAGCATTCTGATCCATTGTGGGTACCTTAAGAACAACTCATATAAAATAAAAACATTTCAGACAATGGGCAATAAGGATGATCCAAAGGCTAGAAACTGTCCTCAGTCCTTAGAAAATGAAGGAATTGGAAATGTTTAGGTTAAGAAAGAATTCTCAAGGCGTATATGACAGCAGCCTTCAAACACTTTAAAGTTTGCCCTTCAGAGGAAGGTCAGACCCCTTCGCATGTCACTTCACAGCATGAGGAGCAAGATAATCAGAATAATATGGTATAATAGTTAAAATATTCAACTGGCTTCAGGGTGATCCATGTTTTAGTCCACTGGTAGTTAGGGAAGTTCACTGGGTGACTTGGAGATATAAATCAAATAACACACAAGTGGAGATTGAAGAGAATCAAATACGTTAGAAGATATTTCTAAATAGTAAGAATAGTTGGATGGCAAAATTAGTTACAAGAGAGGCTCTTCCTCTTTAGATGAAACATCCAGGTAGCCATTTGTCAAGGATTTGATTTAGATCTCTGCATTGAGAGGGGATTCAGTTTGATAGTGTTTGAAGTGCTTCCTCCAACTCTGGGATTCTCTTCTATTATGATGGGATTCTATTCTATTATTCTTTTATGTCTCCCTAGTTTTCTCAGGAAGGGAGAGTTGTATAAAAAGAACAATAACTACTGTTATTCCGTGAAGCCTGCTGCTGGAGTTTTATATTTTCAATCATAATAGTCATTTCTTTATATATCATATTTTTCATAAATAGATTATGCTCAAGCAGTTTACCCAGTAGACAGTTTAAATATAATAAATGAACATATGACATGTCACCAATATAGAGTTCAAGTAACAATACCAACAGCAGGATTATAATCAGAAAGTGGGTTCTTTAATTGTTAGAGATTAATAAGGCAGGTTTCCGACATGGCAGTAAGACATAATATAGTTAGTTGGTTGGTTCTCTATTAACGTGATGTATAAACCCAACCTTTGGGTTAATGACACTGTATTATATGAAAATGGATCATTGTGACTTGTTCAGACATGAACTCAGCCTATGATTTCTTGCTTCATCAAAACAGTAAGAGGCAGAAAGATAACAAATACAAGACATTTCATGTAATAGAAGGCAACTGGCTTCTTTACCAGCATCCTAAGTTTTTGTGATGGTAACTTTTGTCCTTTAGATACCAGAACCAGGAAAGATGCAATAGGAAAGTCTTTTTGTAATCCCAAAGATGAGGAAAGAAAGGAAGAAATAGTGAAGTCCTGTGGCAACTACTGATGTGTTTATACCACACTTAACTGGGTATGGATATGTTTAGTACCAGTATGTCATGAAACAGCTGGCCAGATGGCCACACCATCCAAGCACACAAGCACACAAAAATAAGTGATTTGCCTGCCTTATTCAAACATCCAAGAAAAGGGTTGGGGCATAGAATGGCTGAAAATGCAAGGCTCAGTATTATAAAATGAACTATTAAAGGCCTTTTGCCCCTAAATATCTGACAACTTTTTTTAAAAAAGTGCCCCCATATACTTCATTTAACAGTAGTGCATTCAGTGGCAACTTCCAGGCTTGACTTGTGCAATGGACTCTGCATAGGCTTTCTTTGCTGTCACTTGAAAAGTTAATGGTGTCTAGGCTGGAATCCAGAATATCTAATATCTAATTTCCTAATAGTGAGAGTAATCAACCAATGGAACAGTTTCTTTCAGAAGTTGTGGGTGCTCCATCACTGGAGGCTTTCAAAAAGAGGCTGGACAATCATTTATCTGAAATGGTATAGGGTCTCCTGCTCAAGCAGGGAGTTGGACTAGAAGACCTCCAAAGTTCCTTCCAACTCTAGTATTCTATGTTCCATAGGATATCAATTATAAAATCTCTATATTTGTTTGTGGGTATAACACCCAAAATTGTGTGTGCCTGCGATACCTGATAGATCTTCTCCAACAAACTTCCCACCAATCACAAAGATAACTTTTGCTGAAAGAATAATTTAATCTATTTAAGTTTAATATATGGTCATTTTATATAAACAAATAATATCTGCCAGAAAGCTGAATTCTGCCCTGGGAATGCAGAGAGAGCAATGGTTACTTTTCCTGAGACCTGCAAATAATAATGCCTTTTCAAGGGCATCCTCTACATGTGGAGTTTGATCAGCTCTGTCTGTGCATGAATCTACAATGTTGTTTCAGTTCAGAAAATAACATTATTTAGTTCTATTTTAGCTGTGGATTAAAAGGAAAGACAGGAAATCTATGTTTCCATTCAAATTACTGGAGCTTTATGGAGCTCAAGGAATGTCATTTTTCTACTATTCGGAACTGTTGGCTCATTCTTTCTAGCCCTAAAATGCTAAGCAATTTCAGCTTCAAACTGTAATGTCGCTATTTGATTTAAGCAATATTATTTCGATCTTTCAATTACACTGAACTGAATGTTAATAATAGTAGAAAAAAGATTGCCTTCTTGTTGACCCAAAACATTTAATTTTGCATTACATGTTCCATAATTAATAAAACAGTAGCAAGTCTATTATCCAATCAGATTTTGAGGGGCCTTCAAAAACTCAGGAGTGATGAAGCCAGCTTCACTTCAGAAGGGAGGATACCCCATAATGTGAGTGCCAATATACTTGCTAAACTGCAAATTTCCGTTACATTTGTTCCTTGTCCTCCTGCTGTAGAAAGATACAGTGGTGCCCTGCCATCTTAGATGTTTTGCACTTCATTAGAAAGGAATTAGGCAACATAATTATGTTTTTTATATATGAGAGGTATTAAGTTTATATCTTGAAGTGTATATAATAAGCTCTGTTTATCACTTACTGTCCTATCTGGAGAAGGGTTACCATTTTATGTGAATTACATTGATGAAATATTTTTGTTACTGTTCTTAGCAGCTCCCTAATATGCATTAAAGCTGTAATGTTTTGTACATCAAAAAAGTCTCAACTGACCTTGAGCCTAAAAGAGTGAAGTGTGGGAAAAAAGTCTTACTAGGGAATTTTGACCTGTTCACAGCAAGGTCCACTTTTGGGTACGTTCATGGTTCAATTGTGCAATGAATGAGGAAGTATGTTTTAGGGGTGCTGATGATTGTTACTTCAGTGTTTTCTCCATTGTTTTTTGAAACATACCCATTGTTGAAGCATGATTATTTTTCTGTACAAGACATCTGTGCACACCGGGAGTAGAGATGATCTAACAAAGGAACTAAAAGCACTGTCCATTATGCATTTTACATATAAGCAACCCATTTTTCAACAAAGGGGGAGGACACTTTTCTATATTGTCTTTTTATAAAAACCCTATTTCACAATGTATCAACAATAATAAACACCAGCCTATATTGAGAAATAAACCTTATTTTATCTTCTTTTTCATTTCCTTACACTGATTAAAGGCAGCAGAATATTTAAAACATCCGCAAATTCATTTCATTTAGCAAACTTATTTGACAATATAAACAAAAACAGTAATGACAACATGCTTTATTTTTGTGTCCTTGTGCTGAGCCTTTCTATTTTTCATCATTTTATTTTAGGTTGGTATTGTACTGCATTATTCTACACTTTCTACAATGCTCTGGATTGGAGTGACAGCAAGAAATATTTATAAACAAGTTACAAAAAAGCCTGAAACATCCCAAAACAGTGATCAGCCTTCTTACCCCAAACAGCCATTGCTCAGGTATGAATGATTATGGACATGTTTTCTTTCAAATTTGCTTTACATATGTATGGCCATTGCTACTTCTATTAGTTGGCTTTAACAGTTGGCAAACTAAGAATGTCTTTAATTAACTTTAGAGCCATATTGCAGCCAAAGTGAGAAATGAAATTATAGTTTGCAATTGGCTTAAGGTTGACTGTTTTGACAATGGTAATCATAATTAACTATGAGAAATTTGAAGATTTTCATGATTATTTGCATCTCATTGAGAAACACAGGTTATATAAATCTTAGCTTAAAGACATTTCTCTGGAACAGGTCCAACTATATAATTATTTGACTATCCTTATTTCTAGTGTTTTTACACCAACATGAAGAGTAAGCAGTGTTCAGGAATCCAAACAGAGAATAAGGAGCATAGCCATTAATTAATCTTAAACATCCCAGTATGATTTCAAGCTAGTATGCCCACTTATGTGAAAGAATTTTATTGTTTTAATTCTATTGTTTACATTGTCTGTACTGGCATTGTTCTTTGTACATCCTTAGCATCTCTGGAGACTAAAGTGAGCTTCAAAATTTCCTAGGAATAATATTTGCTCCCAAATAATTTGAGGAAGTAAAATCTGTTTTGTAATCATTTGTACAAACTATGAAGAAAAAGTTCTATATATAGATTGTGACACAATAATTTATAATCATTAATTTCTGTTCTTTAAAATGTTTAGTGGATGTTTACTTTAAGCCCTTTAAGTCCAATGGTTCATTTAATAGAGAATTTTTAAATTTTGTATATTATGATAGTGTTTTTCTGTAAATCAGTGTACTTCATTTAAAAATCATTGTAATGGTTCCTTCTTAGGAATGTGTACTAGTTGAATAATTGAATAATTGTGGCATCATTAGTACTTTCTGAGGTTGGTGGTTTTCTTGCGGACATTTCATTACCAATGCAGGTAACATTATTAGCGCTAGAAGGGAGTGGGGTTGAGCTTGGTTTTCTTGTAGATCTTTCATTATCAAACTAGATAACATTAACAGTCAAACCCTACTTCCTTCTAGCACTGATGATGCTACCTGCTTTGGTAATGAAATGTCTGCAAGAAAACCACCAACCTCAGAGAGCAAGGACCTCACAGTTCTGTTGCAGAAGTGAGAGACTTGAGTCAACTCAAGTCATAAATATGAGTCATAAATATTCTCCTCAATTAGTGGAATAATTGCCGGGCTTACAGTAATCAAGGTGGAAGATTATTTTAGGTTGTAAAAGCAGGGCATACTGTGTGTTTATTAAAGAGAGGTCACTTTATACATTACTATTGTTGAAGGGACATGGGAATATTTATTAAGGTTCTGAGAAATGAATAATTTTATAATGAGTAGGCTTCTCAAGATATATTATAACTTACTTTATTTTCTTGAAGGAACATCTTCCTTCAAACAAATTGAATTATAGGAAAGGGCAGGTGAATGTGTTATTTTAAAAGTATCTAATGTTGAGGATATTCTGTATATTTCAGTTACTAGCAACAGTAGCACAGTGGCTCATGTGGTTAGGACATTTGGTTGACAAGCAGCAAAACCATGTCTGAGACCCAAGTCTGCAGTGAGGCAGGGTGAGCTCCCGTCATTCACTTCAGCTCCTGCCAACCTAGCAATTTGAAAGCATACATTTGCAAGTAGATAGATAGGTACCACTTTGGTGGGCACATTAACTGAGACATGAAAGGAGCCCCCAACTGGGCATCCCCTAGGCAACAGTGGTGTCACTGGGTAATCCTTTCAACCTGGAACTGCCTCAGTGCTCCAACACAAATGCAATAAGAATTATCAGCATAGTCTCAGATTTCAGTATTTATCATTGTATTAATCATGTATTAAGACTGCATGCATATAACCATAATCTTAGAAGGAACAACATATCAATTATTTTGAAAATTAGTATTATATATTTGTAGGAGAACTTATTCCTAACAAAATGTACCATAGCATATAAAAACATCTTCTGATTGTTCTCTAGTTTATAATATTAAATATATATCACACATAGCTTTTTCTAAGTTGGCACCTGCAGAACTTTTTATTTTTATTTTATTTTTGCTTTCATTAGCTGGTATGGTTATTTTAACATTTGGCATACTTTCTTGATAGTTTGCAATAATGTTAATAAAAAATGTCTTCATGAAGTGATTTTTTTTAAAAAAAGTATTAACTGGCAGTTCATGAAAAATAACTTTTATTTTCATCCGTCTGTTGATGAAATGAGCCAGCAGTTGTTTGAAAAGACTATCACAATTCTGTTTCCGCATACATTACATAAGATATCAGAAGGATTATTTTCCAAGTAATTATTTGGATTAATTTTCTCTTAGCTAAAATGCTTAAAAGATTCTTTAGCCTCAGCCTAAGAATTGAAGCTGGTTGGCTGATAATGAAAGGCAATAAACCCTAATCACTTACGGTAAAGTCCATTTTAATATGGTTGAGAATAATCAAAGTATTTTAGCAAGGAGATGGCTAACACTCCAGTATATGGCCAAAATATCATAGGTCAAACACTTCCTGGGTTGGGAAGTATGTGGTGGAATACAACTATATGTTCAGAATACTGAGAATTCTCCAGAATGTTAGAATTCTATTCACATTCACACACACCCCATCCCCACCATGGACTTCTTTGATCCATTGGGGAGATGGTTCTGGGCAGATGGGCACAGCTCTTTCTCCCCACTCTTTCCTAAATTTTAGAGACACATTAGCTAAATAAAGCTTGTATGATTCTGTCAATAGGACTGGTTTTATTAGACTGTGTTTCTATTTAATATGCTGTTAAATGATTAAGTGGTTGTTTAGATGAAACATATAGGTCAGATAGTTGAGCGGATTGGGAAGAGTTTGCAGTTTCTGTGTATTCTGTTCGTATTATTGCTGTATATTACTTAATTATATTTTGATGAAAATTTAATTATTAAGAAGAGCAAAGCACTGATGCAGGGCGGTTGAGAATATTGTCCCATCACATGGTCAAAAAAGACTTTAATATTAATATTGCTATTTTCTATGGCATATTACCCTTTGCCTCTGGCACCCAATACCTTGAGCTGGCCCTTTCTCTCCACTTAGATGAATAGAGATGATTGGGCAATTAGTAGTGATACTAAGTTTATGCATAGTGTAACTATACTGTAATATCAATACAAAAGCAAAACAGGAAATCTAACTGTGTCCCTTGTTCTACTGCTTCCCATTTGAGCCAAGGAACACTTTAAATAAACTTTTTTCCACAAATAATTCCAATATGTATTTTTAGATCAAGTAAAATTATGTTGAAATTAGCTTAATTCATTAATGAACAATGGGCATTTTTAGCAGTTCTTACACATTTGCAGGCTCGCATGCTATTTGAGTAGCAGAAGTCGATATAAGAATCCCAGGATATAATAGCTATTATATTATCAAACATTCTCTATTTTTTCTGAAAGCCTTATACTACTTGGACTGAATTTAAAATATTTAAAATGATTTTGCTATTCAGCTCGGAAGAAGAATTTTCAATAATAATTTATAGTACTTTACAAGCCAGAAAAATGTCATGGTGTGTATTCCTTGAAACATAAATTTCAATTCTGTCACAAAATACATAAAAATTAATTACAGAAAATGTGGGTTTCAAAAATATGTGTATGGTTTATTAATATATTTTTATAATACCTCGCCTTTTATGTCTGACAATATTTGCAAATTCAGAGTCTTGTTGCAAGAATATAAAGACAAGAGCCATGCAAAGCCCAAACAACTTACTTCAAAGTAAATTAACTTATCCCAATTGGAGTTGATCTGGGATAGTCCATTCTGAATCAGGTGATAATCAGGGTAACCCCTAAATATTGTGTGATCAGTTGGTAATTTTAACAATAGGAAGACAACTGCATCTTGTACAGTGGTGTGTGCATGTGCAATTTTAAAGTAAAGAAATTTTCACCATTCCAAATTCCAGATGGGATTTGATCCCCAGCTCATATCTATTTATTCTACTTTGCTCCACTGCCTTAATGTACAAGGCAAAGTTAAAATATAGTAAATATTTGTCACAATGCTAAAAATTACAGAGAGCCCCATCTTGGCCTATAATAAATCTGTTTACACTGTGTGAGAGCCAACAGAGCAGTCATTCTGAGAGATGGATTGAAAGACCTGTCAGAAAATCTAACCATTTCTTCACTCCAGGCCTCTGGTAAACTGTGTCCTCAATCAGTTGTATTTTAGACTTATCTGGATTGAATTTCAACTTCATTCAATCCAGTACTCTAGGAAACGAAACATCAAGGCATGGAAGGAATGCAGGAGCAGTTTTAAAAATAACATATATTCAGGTATATGCTACTGCCATTGGTAGTCATAGGAGCATTTCGAGTCGTAACCCATTCTAGCCTTAGGCCTGAAAAATATAATGAATACAGTAAAGCTACAGAGCATTGTCTGTTTCTTCAGAAGTTGCTGTTGACTTGAACTTTTAGGATAAACTAATGGTTCTTCACCTGATGCCCAAAGGAACAGGGATTAAAAAATCTGTAGTGGTTTTTTGGATGTCTCCCCCTTAAGACTGCCATGGAAACTTTTATATGCTGCATTTCAGTCATCCATTTTCAGCAATACAGGTAGTCTTCAATTTACAATGAGTCAGTTAGTGACCATTTGTAGTTATGACGGACCTCCCCAGGGCTATTTACAAGACACACACACACCTCACAGTAATGTCATTGCCTTTTCGACTCACAGCAACCAGCCTGCATTTATGGCCATTTGCAGATTTGTGACTTTTTTTTGCTGGAAACAGGCATTTCATTCCAGTTTCCAAAAACAAACAGCCATTGCACACAATGGATTTGCTTAACGGCTGCTGCATCTGCTTAATGACCACAATGATTCACTTAACAACCGCCACAAAAGTATTGCAAAATCTGGGACAGTCACATGGTGACCCACTTAATGACTGGCATGACTTACAGCCGTAATTC